GGTTTTTCTGCAGCTTTGGAGCCTGTCCTGGAACTAGCTCTTGTAGACCAGGCTGGCCTCGAACTCCCAGAGATCTGCCTGCCTCTGCTTCCCAAGTGCTGGAATTAAAGGCGAGCACCACCACTGTCCGGTAAATATCTGTGTTTTCTGATGGTCTTAGGCAACCACTGTGGTCATTGGGGGTCATTCGAACCCCAAGGAGTCATGACCTACTGGATGAGAACCACTGATCTAAAGCCTCAATCCCACTCCTTTTTTTCTTCTCCACTCCACCTACCTGTGTTGAACTCTGAGGCTTCCCAGAGCCACCTTGGCAGAAGCAAGGCCATAAAGATGGAGAAGCCCACAATGAAGACATTTCGCCCAGAGTCAATGTCAGCCAGGTGGAAGTTGGAGAATCCAGCAGACAGAACCACAGCCTGGGTCACTCCCAGCACCCCACCTGCCCTCATGCAGAAGAAAACACAGTGGTAGGAAGAGGGCAAAGCTCAGGGTTTGTAGGACAGGCAGGTTGTAATGGAGAAAAATAACCACTAGGCTTGTTTGTGATTCATCAAGAAACTCAGTTGGGCTGAGAAAACAAGAGCATATGTCCATATCCATTCAGAGAAGCTATTTAGAAAGAAAGGGCACAGCTTAGCAAACTGGCTGGGCCAAATAGTATTCTAATACCTGTCTTCGCATCTATTCACTTACCAAGCACAGGCAGTGGGATGTTGATGAATAGCTGAGCCAGCCTTGGGGAGAGCCCAAGACCCACGCAGAATAGCCCCACCAGGTGGGCTACTTGCCGCGAACCAGTCTGCATGAAGAAGAGACACTAGAGAACACAGCCGCCTCCTTGGGCTGTACCAGATCTTTGCTTGGCCCACTTCATTTCATCCTTCATATCCCAGCTTAAATGTGACCCTCCTAAGCCTCCCAGCCACTCTATCCAAAGGTACCTCCTTTGCTCAGTCCATACACCACTGCTTTCATGACCGTGTTTACCACCCTCAAACTATGCTATATACTTCCTTTTTACGAAGTCCCCAAGAGAGCAGGGCTTTCTCTGACTCATTCTTCAACTGTAATGAGCCTTGGCGGAGCTCCCAATTCACCTGACGCACAGATTTCCTGTCCCTCTACATTCACAGCATTTTGTACTTCTAGGCACCTCCCTCAGTGAACTGC